CTGTGATTGGCCATTAATTAGAAACAACCACATGAGACCAATCACAGATGCACCTGTTGCATTCCACAGCAGCAGATAATCAATGTTTACACTTTGTTCCTGAAGCCTCTCAGCTTCTCAGGAGGAAAAAAATCCTATGGAAAGGATTTTCCATAAAATGTGTCTGTGACACTGAGTGCCTCAGGTTTATTCCTGTGTCCCTTCCAGCCCAGCTCAGGTTCCCAGCTCATGGACACTGATCCCTTCAAGAGCTCCCCAGGGGCTGGGGTGTTTGTTTTCCCAGTGCTGGAAAGTTTAAAGGTAAAGGATTGGAGGTTGGTGGCTCACAGAAGGGATTCCCTTGCTCTTAAACCTTCTCCTTAAAGAGCTTAGGTTTTTCCTTTGATTTCTGCCCAGAAATAATCAGGTTTTCTTGGATCTGACACATTAATTTTGATGCCATAATTTTGGTGCCATAATGTGCCATAAGCCCCATAAATCCACATCACAGCTTGGTGAATCTTTGGGAAGCCACAAAGTGCCACCTGGTGAGCATGTCCAGGGACACATCCTGCACAGGGATCACTCCCTGCCCTTCTGGGAAAGCTGCACAGGCTCCAGGAGGGATTTCTGCATGTCCAGGGCTGCTGCTGGGGCTCTGCCCTCCCTGTAGGCTGTGTCTGATCTTGGAAGCCAAGAGCATCTCCTGATTCCTTGCTCCAACCCCTGGCAGGATCAATGCCCATTCCTGCACTGGCACTGCCAGGGAGAAGCAGGGAGGTGATGGGGAGGCAGCAGTGCCCCTGGGTCACAGATGGGATGAGCAGGTGAACAAGCACTGGGGGCTGCCCAGTTTCCCTGCGAGGTCAGATTGGTGCCATGAGTGTTCATCCACCCCTTGGTGCTAAAAATGAACACAAAATATTCCTCAAAGAGCTGCTGAGCCCTGGAGCTGCTGAGGGAGCACCCCCAGCTGGTGTCTGCTGCAGGTCTCTTGGAAAATATGAAAGCACAAAACCTGAGCTGCTGTTGCAGCTTGCTGAGCAAAGGGGCTGCTGGCACTGGGGGCACAACAGCCACAGCTTTGTGCTAAATTCCCTGGGAAACAGCCTGGGAAGGGCCAGGAGCTGCAGGTTTGTGGGCCTGGGGATGAGGGACAGGGCCAGGTGGTACAAAAATACCAGGAAATACAGGAATAGAGAAGAAAAGGAAAAGGAAAAGGAAAAGGAAAAGGAAAAGGAAAAGGAAAAGGAAAAGGAAAAGGAAAAGGAAAAGGAAAAGGAAAAGGAAGGAGCTTTCCCAGGGAGCTGCAGGAGGGCTCTGGCTCTGACAGGCACCACTCCAGGGGGAGCTGCCTCCAGGACTGAAGGAATTTGAGGATCTTAAAAAGAGGCTTCAAGATCCAAATGCTCATGATCAGAAATCCTGATCCTTGAGCTGATTCCCTTTTAGAGGCGAGGCATCATCCTCCTGCTCAGGAACAGATTGGGAGCATTGCAGAAAGGATTAAAATCCATCCTGTGGAGCTTGGAAAAGGCAGCATCACATGGATGAGCACTGGGGGTGGGAACAGGCCTGAGTGACCCAAAATCAACTTGAGATTTTTATGTAGGTATTCCCTATAGGTCTGGGCTCCCCAAAATGCATTTGAGTTTTTTATACTGGTCTTTTCCCAATCAAATCCAGATTTAATTTGAGGGAAGCCTTGTTGGGTGGGGGAGGTTTTAGGGATTATTTTGGGATACCAAGGCAAAGCCCTGCCCTGGCCATCCCAGGTGCTGCCTGTCTGCTCTGAGCCCAACCTCCCCCACTCAGATCTCAGCCTGTCCTGCCTCCCTCCACTGAATCATCTTTATTTTTACCTCTCAGCTACCAGGGGCACACTGCAACGGTGTCTCTTCTAAAGCAGAGTGAATAATTCATTAGGAGATCATTACAAGCATTGTAATGGAAAATTGCTTTCCCAGTTGTGTTTAATGATCTCTGGAAGAGACGAGAGCAGGAGCTGGAGCAGAGTGGGAGCCCAGGCAGTGAGGGAGAAGGGGCTGCTGTGCCTCCTTTGGCTTCCCTGCTGCACTGGCCCCAGATGCCAGGGTGGAACAGGGGGGAGCTCTCCAGCCCTGCTGGGTTATTGCTTAGGACCAGCTGTGTCTGCAGAGCACTGGGGCTCTCCAGGGAGAACATTCCACCCTGGAATTGCCCAAACTGCCAAGAGATTATGCTGAGATTCAGCCTCAGTTTTTCTTCTCATGCAATTTTTATTCTTTATTCTCAGCTGTCTGCCTCTGATATATTTGAATCTTAAACCTTTTTCTCTTTCTTTCATTCTTTTCCCATTTATTTTACACCTTTTACTCCTCCCTTCCTCTTGGCTGTGTCTCAGTGGGGTCAGGGAAGGGTTTGGTGCTCAGTGCCCAGCCAGGGTTTGCATTTCCATCTTTTAAATCCTGATATCCACTTGCTGCTAAACCTGTGCCTCAGAACCCAAACAGAAGGGGAAATCTTTTAAAAATACCTTGTTTAAAAATACAGATCCATCTTTATCAGATAGATCCAAACCCAGGACAAATGGGAGAGGACTCCCCAGTCTCACTGCACTTCCCAACCTTCCTCCAAACCTTTTCTTCTCCCTTTGGCTCCTCTTTTGTAAATTATCCCTGAGGGCCTGTCCAGCATCAGCCCATGGCCATTGCAAGGGGCCTCAAAACCCAGCAGAGAATTTGGTGTCCCCCTCTGGAATCCACATCTTCCTTCTGATGGTTTCAGCCCCGGACATCCCAGAATTCCTGGAATTACTCAACCACAGGAAGTTCCCAGGCAGTTTGAAAAGAATCCCAAAGCTCAGGGAAATACTTTCATTGTAGCTTTTTTTGGAAGTGTGACCGTTCAGTGATGTCCTGTTGTTGTTTTTCAGAATCCAGGGATTGACATTGGGGATGTTTCTGAGAGGAAAGCCTTGAGGAAGAGCCTGAAGTGTAAAAATTTCCAGTGGTACCTGGACCATGTTTATCCAGAAATGAGGAGATACAACAACACCATTGCTTATGGAGAGGTAATTTAGTCCGTCAGCTCAGCCTGCTAATATTTACACTCCCTGATGAGAAACAGCCTCAAAGGAGAAGAGTCTGAATCAAAACTGACTTTTTCTGTATAATTATCTAAATTTGCATAAATCTGCTCCCAGTTTCTTCTAAAAACCAGTTTGGGGATTTGTTGCTGATCTTAAAGACTGTATAAAGTAAAAGATGTTAATACATAATTTAGTGAATTGACAGAAATTACCCATATTTCCCATTGACTCCATGGATTAAGCAGCTGTATTTGTATTTTTAATATACAGGCATCTTCTAAAACCCTGAGACTTGAACTCAGCCTAATTCCTGACAAGGTCTCTGGAGGATTCAGTGCCTTGTCACAGCAGCTTAAGGACAAGATAAAATAAGGGGACTTAATTCAATCTCTGCTGGCTTTGAAACCATTCTGGGGATATAGAAAGAGTCATTTATGGGAACTAATAACAAATACTCTGCTGCAATGGAATTGATGGAGTGGTGGCACTTGGAGCAGGCTCCTCAAAACCTGGGCACCCCAGATGGGTTATTAATTTTTATTCATTTCGGGAAAGATTTGTTATCAAAGTTACTAAAGGCCTTCAATCTAAAACCTCCCAAAAAATGTCTATTTTCATAGAAAATGAAATTTCAGAATGGTTTGGGGTGGAAAAAAGCCCAGCTGGAACAAGGATGTGACGATTCCAAAGTGATCCTTGTTCCAGTTGGGCTTTTTTCCCTGCCTTGTTAAGCACTCTGAGATTTCACTGAAATCTGAGGGGTTCTGCATTGATTTCTGGCAGCCTAAACCTGGGTTTGTCCCCACCCCCATGACCAAACACAGAGCCAGCTGTGACCAGGGATGCTGCTCCTTGGAATGGGATTATGACACAAAACCAGCATCCTTAGCCCTGGATTTAAAGAAAGGTTCAGTGCTCTGCAAGTTTTCCTTGCCTGATTATTCCTGGTGACACAGCAGTGAGAGCCAGAGAGGGCAGAGAGGGCTGAGCATCCATTTCCTGCTTCTCTCTGATCAGAGAGGGCCTTAAATCTGCCCCTTTTGCGCCTTAACTCTGCCCTTTTTGTGTCATAACTTTGAACTTTTCCTGCCATAATTCTGCCACTTTTGTCCCTTATCTCTCCCCTCTTTCTGCCATAATTCTGCCAATTTTTTGTGCCTTAACTCTGACCCTTTTTTGCCATAATTCTGCCAATTTTTGTGCCTTATCTCTGCCCTTTTTCAGCCATAACTCTGCCCCTTTTATGCCTTAATTCTGCCCCTTTTGCACCACAACTTTGCCCCTTGTTGTGCCATAATTCTGCCAATTTTTTGTGCTGTAACTCTGCCCCATCTCTGCCATAACTTTCTCTGCCATAATTCTACCATTTTTTGTCCTTTAGCTCTGCCCTTTTTCTGCCATAACTCTACCCCATCTGTGCCATAACTTTGCCCCTTTTTCTGCCATAACTCTGCCAATTTTTGTGCTATAACTCTGCCCCTTTTGTCCCTTAACTCTGCCCGTTTTTCCCCTGGCAGCTGCGGAACAACAAGGCCAAGGACGTGTGCCTGGACCAGGGCCCTCAGGAGAACCACACAGCGATCCTGTACCCATGCCATGGCTGGGGCCCCCAGGTGAGGCTGTGTCCTGGTTTGGGAAGACAGGAGTCTGCTAAGGAAGGCAGGAGCCTCCCCTGAAATGGAGAATGTAAACCCTCCCCACCCCTCCCAATTGCTATAAATTTTAAATTAAGGGGCTCTCAGGCAAAAATATGGGAGAGGGAAATAACAGTTCTTTAATAGGGAAGAAAATAAAAGGATAAAATGAACAATGCAGTACACTAGAACAACACTGCCAGAGTCAAAACCCAACCTGACACCCTGTGGGTCAGGGTGTTGGCAGCAGTCCCATTGGAATTGTGGCTCAGCCCTCCTGCAGTGTCAGGGGTGGTTCTGCTGGAGCAGGATCCTGTAGAGAAGGATGGATTCTTCCTCTGAAGATCCAGGGGAAGAAGAGGCAGCTGCTGTTCCTCTGGGGAATCCAGTGGAGAAGCCGTGCTGGTGTTCCAGAACCTCTGGATTATATCTGGGTAGGAATGCTTGGCTCCTCCCTCTGGGCTCACATCTCCCAATGGGATGCTGTAGTTCTTATCAGCCATGCAGTGACATTCAATAGCTGTTATCAACAATGTCCCCTCCCGAGGGACGTGTGAATGTGGTCACTCAGAGAGAGAGAGATAAGGCAAACTGCCCACTTGACAAAGATAATCTGCCATACAGATGGTAATGGAAAACATCTTGCATTGCAGTCTGGAACAGGCTGGCACTGCCTTTGCTCTCCAGGGTTAAAAACACCTGGGCATGTAGGAATGTGCTTTTTGTCGAGGGAGTGACAAAACTATCTTTTGTCTCCTAAAAAAGCTCAGAAATTTCTCTTTTTGATTGGGTGAAAAAGCTACTTCATAGGCTTAGGGGATTTCACCTCAAACTTAAGGATAGCTAATTGGACAGAAGCTAAAAATCTTGCTTAGGCAATTTACTAGAAAAAGAAGTGAATAAAGAAACAAATCACTTTTGTAAGGTGTTTTACTAAGAGCAAGAACTTCTAGCACCTAGCTCGGTTTTTCTGTTTTGTTATTTTGCCTTTTATTGAACATTTTTGTTTTTAACACTGCAACAGAAGCTATCCTACTGATTTTTATGCCTCCAAGCGTAGCTGAGCTATCTTGAGTGTGTTATAGACCTCTGAGAGCTTATGAGACCTAACTTGAAGAAGCTCCTATAACATGGGTATCACAGGGGGGTTTTCCAGCTGCTCCTGCAGTGTTTTCTGGATTCCCATCACCCTGCGAGAGCTGCAAGGAAAAGCCTTGAAAGAAATTGGAAACCTTTGTGAATTGAAAATGTTGGAAAGTTGAGATTTTTGCAATTTGAAATTAAAAAAAAATTGAAATTTGTAGTTTAAAATAAAATCTTCCAGACAAAGGTAAATAGCAATAATCATGGACACAATCTGAGTTTCCTTCCCAAGGCTGAGTTGGATGGAAGGCTGGAATAAAATTATCTTTAAGGTCCTTTCCAACCCAACCCATTGTGGGATTACTTCTGTTCCACCAGCAGAATAAACCCAGACTAATGGGATAAAGAAAACAATTAGTGCTGTGGTAATGAGCCATTTCGGCTTGGCTGGAATTTGTTTTCCAGCACTCCTTTTGCCTCTCCAAAAGTTTTGGAGCATCTGGGGCCCAGCAGGCTGGAGGAGGTTCATTGTCAGCTAAAAAAATGTGCAGTTCAAGGAATGGGAAAGCATTAAAATCCTGTTCTCACTCCACAGTCAGGCTGGACTGAGGGATCCCAGAGCTCACCCAAGCTGGGAGCTGGAGGAGCTGGGAGCCAGCTGTGGGGTGGAGGAAATCCCACTGTGGATCACCCTGGCCTTAAACAGAGATCAGTCCCTGCTAAACAGAACCTGCTCTTGCACAAAAACCCCATTTTTCTCTCAAATGGCACCAAGTGCCTTTTGCACTTTGTGGCTGGAAATGTGAGCCTCTAAGTGCATTATTGTGTGAGAAACTGGATTGGGCTGCCATTGCCTACTCACCCTGGGCTTTAGGGTGAGTGGCTGAGAACAGGTTATTTATTTTTCCCTCAGTGTTATTGAGATGAAGCTTATTAATGTTTTCTTTCCCTGCTTGAAGTTCTGAAGTCAGATTTTGCTGGCTGCCTGGAACTTGCCCATTTCATCCTTCCTGGTCTTCCTTCTCCTCATTGTCCCTTCCCTCTTCAGCTGAGAGCCAGTTCTTGGCAGCTCCTTTGTTTCCTGATACATCCAATTAGTGAAACTCCTGGAAAATGCTGCTTTTCAGCAGCTATCAGCAAGTGCAGAAGCTTTGAAATGGCCTTTGTGGCACCATGAAGGAAATTGGACTTTCCCTTCAACTGTTTAATTAATGGGCTGCAGGTTGTAATTTATGGCTGGGGATGGAATTAGAAGTAATGGAAACTCTGGTTTGTACATATATATGGATGTTGAATTTTTATTTATTTGTATGTGTATGGAACCCCTCAATGAGTTGCTGAGCTCCTTTAGAGTTGCTCACATCCCAAACCACTCTCTCATGCTCTGCATGCAACTGAGGTCTTGCCTTTACCCACCCATCCCTCACTGAGTAAAATTTTGGGGATTTTTCTCTTCTTTTCCCTTCAGCTTTCTGTTCTCCCTGCTTCCATTCACTTCCAGGTCAAATAATTATGAGACTCCATCATCGTCCTTTTATCCTGTAATTATATTGAGGCCGCTGATGGGTTTTTTTCCTGCTTGATGGCTTCATCTTTGAGGCAATCCCTCATGGAAGCACCTTGCTGTAATGATGTATTACACTAATAATGCAGCCATAGCTCATTGCAGTGACACAGCTATGGTGATATATTAAGGTGATAGAAAGCACTATAATGCTATAAAACTTAAGATAATGTTCACCCAGCAGAGCATTTCATTTAATTATAGGATAAAATATGTTTTGCCCATTTAAGCAGCAGAAGTTGAGGACAAAGCCATCAATACTGAGCTCATGGGGGACACGGCAGGAGCAGGGGTGACCAAACAGCACCCTTTAATCAGATTAAATTGTGGTAAAAGGCAAATCCTGAACATTTTACTGATGGCTGCTAATTGATGTTCTGCTCAGAGCAGAAGGGAAGCTAAACAACCCGAAATTATTTTCCAATAGAGTCAATGAAGGTCATCAAGGCTTTTATTTCCCAGGTGCTGGGATGTCTAATTAACTTTCTGCCATCCCTGAGATGCAGCCAGCCAGAAATCACAAGCACAGGAGATGGATTGGAGGTGCAGCTTTGCCAGGGGATCAGCTGAGGGAGCTGGGCAGGGGCTCAGCCTGGAGCAAAGGAGGCTCAGGGGGCCCTTGTGGCTCTGCACAGCTCCTGACAGGAGGG